CATCTCCATCATCTCCCTCATCCCCACCCCTCAGATCGAGAAGCTCAAGGCCGAGCAGAACAAGCAGCCTCCGACGCCGCTCCTGACCCGCAAATTTTTGCCGGACGCCGCGGCCGTTGCCGACCCTCGCCGGCCGGAGCCGCGCGTCGCCTACGTCCGGCACGAGCTGCGCCCGGAGCGCCTCCAGCCCAAGCTCGACCGCGTCCAGGCTCCGAGCACCGAGGGTGGAGCCACCGAGCCGCCCCCGGCCGCCTCCGCCGTCACCGCGGCCGCCCCCGCCGAGCCCCCGGCCGTGACCCCCAAGGCCGAGGAGCCCGGCGAGGTCCGGCCGGGGCTGCCGGAGCGGCGCCGGGAGCGCCGGGAGCGCCGGTTGGAGCGGCAGGAATCCAGCGAGCCGGAGCTGCCGCGGCACGACGGGAAGGGCAGCGGGTGAGCCAGGGGAGGCCGTGGGGACGCCGTGGGGACAGCAGGGAGGGGACGGGGCTGAGGTGACCCCACCGTGGTCCCCAAATGTCCCCCAGCAGCAAAGCCACGCTGGCGGACATCGTGGAGCAGCTGCAGGAGAAGGAGGCGGGCGGGCCCGTGCCGGCTTCGGTGAGTCCTTGGTGGCCCCTTGGTGGCCCCTTGGATTCCTTTTTGTGTCCCTTTGGGTGTCCCCTCATGTGCCATTGGGCATCCCTCAGTGTCCCCTCCATGTCCCCTGGATGTCCCCTCAATGACCCACTGGACATCCTCTCAGTGTCCCCTCCACGACCCCTTGAATGTCCCCTCAGTGTCACGTCATTGTCCCCTCATTGTCCCACTGGAGACACCCTCCATGTCCTCTCAGTGTCCCCTCCATGTCCCCCTGGATGTCCCCTCAATGACCCACTGGAGATCCTCTCAGTGTCCCCTCAGTGCCCCCTCATTGTCACCTCATTGTCCCACTGGAGACCCCCTCCATGTCCCCTCATTGTCCTCTCTGTGTCCCCCTGGATGTGCCCTCATTGTCACCTCCATGTCTCACCAACCACCCCTCACTGTCCCCTCCATGTCCCCCTGGATGTCCCCTCACTGTCCCACTGGAGATCCCCTCACTGTCCCCTCCACCACCCACCCCTCACTGTCCCCTCCGTGTCCCCTCACTGCCCCCTTGGATGTCCCCTCATTGTCCCACTGGCCACCTCTCAACATCCCCCTGGATGTCCCCTCATTGTCACCTCCATGTCTCACCAACCACCCCTCACTGTCCCCTCCGTGTCCCCTCCATGTACCCCTGGATGTCCCCTCATTGTCACCTCCACGTCCCACCCCTCATTGTCCCCTCCATGTCCCTTCCGTGTCCCCTCAGTGTCCCCCTGGATGTCCCCTCAGTGTCCCCCTGGATGTCCCCTCATTGTCACCTCAGTGTCCCCTCA